CATTTTTATTTTTGGATTCACTTAAATTATTTGTATATAGTGGCGTATATATGGTAATAACGGTTGCTGGTGTTGAAGTTATTGCTGTTGTTGATGGGATCTCTTCTTTTCATAGTTCGATAACGGCCTTTAACGAATAAATATTTCACGCATTCCATATATTAACGTTAGTTATTAAAATTTCACTTGTTTTTAATGGGCCAAGAGCACTAATATATGTATTAAGAAATTGCGGAAAAAAGGTAAAGAAATATATGATCTGAATTTTGGGCAATTTAGTATTTTTTTTTTTTTTTTAGTAAAATAGATTGATTTAAGGATCACCAAAAATGTAACCATCAAAAAAATTAAAATTTTTTAAATACGTCACGCTGATTTCTTTATTGCGTTTTATTTTAAAAAAGACATATAGTATATAATAAAATAAAAAAAAAAACTAATAAAAAAATTTTTTTTAAAAAAAAAGATTTCTAACCGTTAAATTTAAAGTATTCAATTAATCTTAATAAATAATTATTAAAATAATCATCTCCTTTCAAAGAATGTATTGCATTGAACCAAATCGACTTTTTGATATCGTCGTTAGATAAGAAAACATTTGGTACAAAATCTTCAAGGAATGGTTTAACAATGTCTGCACTTTTTGCACGCCTTAATAACTCCATGTGCTCCGGTAAATAGTCAATACGTATCTTAAAGTAATCATAAATGTCTTTAATTAACCTAATTGATATTTTATTTGCAAATTTCCCATTATTTGGATCATCATAATAAATTCTCAACGCAAGTGTGTCCTTAAAGCACATTAAGGACAAATCGGAATCGCTACCATAATTTTTTATCACAAATTCATAGATAATTGGTGAAAATATTAAAGATTTTTTCCTTATATTAAAATTGACATCATCTAGGTTCTCTCGATTAAAATGTTGACCAAGAATTTGTCTTAAAAAATTTTCATGATGTGTAGTCTTTGACTTTAAGAAAATGAAGATATCGTCTTTTTCATGACATCTATTGGGATCGAACGCTACTTTAAATAGTCCAAAAATGAATGTAAAATCCGATTCACCGGTTCGGATCGAACGGAAGACCCTCCAGAGGAATTCACCTAGTTCAGCTAGTTCATATTCATAAAATTGAAGAACATCAACAATGATTCTATCAGTTAATCGAAACCCCATTTCGATGAATTTTTCAAGATTTAAAACCAACTTTTCAAATGCGTGTTGAACTTGAGATGGAGGATCAAGGGTCAGAAATAATCCATGTATAACCACCTCATTGAAATCATCACATACTTCCGAGTAACCTATACTTTTCCACGTGTTTATTAATTCAGGTTTGAACATTATGGCTCTAGCGATTATATTTAAATTTCTTTCCTGTTCGTAACCATCAAAGGGGGGGAATTTTTCAAGATTATAATCAACGTGATATCCACTGTAAAAATATGATCGACGTGTAGGTGGAAATGGAATAAATTTCTTATTTATGATTAACTTTTTTATCTCCTCCAAATTTTTTATTAAAAGGGTGTGAACATTCATTAATAAGAAAGGGCCACCTGATAGATGATAAAATTTATCCATGTCATTCCCCCTCAAAGTAAGTTCCTCCCCGTATTGAACTTCCCCTTGTTTTAATATCGAAAATAAAGTATCTAAGCGTACGTTGTATGCCCATGGTTCGCCGTTTGGATAAACCGATTTTGGAAAACAAGTTGCAAATTGCAACATTAACCTTTGAATAAAGTACCTAGAAAAGACAACCTTCTTTGCGAACAAAATCTTACAAATGGCTTCGTTCATGAATGTTGGACCTAATTTTATTCCATAAAAGAAGGCGTGAGCCTTGCTTGCTCGATGCAACAACCATTTTGCTTTAACATACGGATCTTTTGCGATGATTGACCAACTCTTGCAGCTTAACGCCAAATTTATCGGAGAGTCGATAAATTTAAATATGTTAATTTTAATCTCGATTTCGAGGTATTGAAGTTTTAAGCTTGACATTTTTTGATGAAGAGTCATAAGGAATGGTTATATAATATTATGTGTTGTGATCGTTTTAAAAGATT